TACTGTATACAGTATGTACAATAAAAAGGGTTAAGAACACTTTATATACAGTATATAATGTATACAGTATATATATAACCAGTTTATAGTACCTCCTGATAGTCTGGCATATTTGATAATCCGGCACGACCTAGGTCCCATAGGTTCCGGATTATCGGAAGTCTACTGTAGTAAAAAGTGTGTAAAAAGCAATGTGCGTGCCCTGGGTTCAACAGAGATGTAGGTATTTAAGGTGCAGCTCTTTGCCATTCTTCATCCACCCCTTTGCAACCCTTCCAAAATAAATATTCTGGGGGACTGAGGCACAGAGAGAAGAACAGTTTAATTGCCTCTCGTTGGGAGGGTAGGGAGCCATTCAAAAGTGCCTGTGAGAATCACTCGGACGTGTGCTCTTGAGCCATGCGCTTTTGACAATCCCACCCTGTGAGCCGTAGATGCACATCGCCTCTGAAAAATCAGGCCATGTGCAGCTTGACACAGGTGTCTGTGGCATAGCTGGGAATCAAGCTCAAGTCTCCGAGCAGTGACTTAGCTATGGGACCATCCATCCACCTCTCCTTTTCAGGGGAGGCTGCACCACTGCTCCCAAGCGGCTTCTCACAGCATTTCTGCAGCGTTCCTTCCTTTCCGCCTTCTGCTTGCATGTGACCCAGAGCCCTGGATAGAATCTTTCAGGCAGATCTGCATGACAGGTGCCCCCAGACGTCTGGCTCCGACTCCAGAGGCTTTTCTTTTGAACATGAGGTCTGTGCTCCTTGTCCTCTGGAGAGCAGACTCCCAGGATAACCTTGCACCTGAAGATGTAAAATCAGTCTGTCAGCCACTGAGCATGGTGAATGCCCAGCCCACATACACACACGCAACAAGCTCTACAGTTGGAATATTTGTTTAATCTTTTTCAAGAATAAAATGAAATATTTACGGCTGTTTCCCTTCCAACCCTTTCCGCTACCCTGGAGTGATTTTAAAGCGAAACGTGGAATCAGCTTCTCCAATATAAATATATTTTGCCAACAGATCTGAAAATCCGCCGTCTATGGCATTACCCGAAGGACAGGGGGAGCCGACAGAAAGTGAGTTCACTGCAGGAAAATTTGCAGTCCCTTCCAATGGAGACAAAACAAATCACATGTTGTCCATGGCCCTGCAGGTCACGGGTGAAGTAGTGCCAGTTCCCCAAGTCTGAGGAAGAGGAGGAGAGAGGGAAAACAAGGGAGCCAGCTGGCCAGTCACAGAGCTATCTGTTTACTTCATTTGTCTGTCAACGTCTGTCCTTTTTTATCAATTTCTCCATCTGTTTCTCTCTCACACAAACACACACACACACAGTTTGGGAAAAGGTTATCAGCCCCATTGGCAGCTATATTTCTGTCCCTGGCATCAAAGCTTCCCACACGCTGGCTGGCACCTGAGAGGTACCATTGCCTCATTTCAGTTCTCAGAGGTGAGAGTCTGAGTGGAGAGGGCCCCCATGCCACAGCAAGAAACATCTCATGCAACCATGGGACATAAATTGAAGACAGACTCCTGGCTGAGGGTCCGCCCCTGCCCTGTACTGCTCCACTGAACTTAAGAGAGTGGCACAAAAAGTTTGCCCCCAGTTAAATATGTTTTTTGGGTGGGGAATCTGCTTTGCTTTTTAGTTCTTGACAGTGTTCTACAACGCTGAACGGGCAAGGGTCGGGTGACAGCAAGCAAAGGGAGGGCTGGGAGATGGGAGTGTTGAGAGCCATTGCGTTGCGGAAGCAAGCTGGCCAAATCAAAACTGGACCAGTTAAGCAGAAGCAGAGGCAAAGGCAGCATGTTATGCTGCTGGGCAGTGCAGCAGGTGGAGGAAAGGAGAAGACGTTCAGGATCGTGCCAACCTATAACATTTTCTTGGTCTCCCAAAAGGGCTCCTTGGTGCTCTGGAACACACCGTTGCTGGCCAGATGCATGGTGTGTGGTATTAACTCCAGCTCTGAAGCAAGCTGTACCACATTCCACTTACCTGTGCCCAGAGGAACATAAAAACACAAGAATGGCCACACTGGATGAGACCAAAGGTCTATCTATCCCAGTATCCTGTCTTCCAACAGTGGCCAATGCCAGGAGCCCCAAAGGGACTGAACAGAACAGGGAACCATCAAGTGATCCCTCCCCTATTATCCATTCCCAGCTTCTGACAAACAGAAGCTAAGGACACCATCCCTGTCCTTCCTGGCTAGTAGCCATTGATGGACCTAACCTCCATGGATTTATTTAGTTGTCTATTGAACCCTGTTATAGTCTTGGACTTCACAACATCCTCTGGCAAGGAGTTCCACAGGTTGCCTGTGTGTGGAGGGAAACAATCATGTGATAAGGGTGATTGACAAAAGAGAGCATCTGTCAGCGGGAGTGGAGGAGAGATGGCTCTGCTGTGCAGGGCAGAGGCGGTTGTCATCTAGGCCGATGAATTACTTGGGGCAACACAGCGTTGAGTAGCTGCGTGTGTTGCTATGGGTTTGGTAAGAGGTGAACGTGTGCTGGTTGGCTTAGGTGGCAGAATCCCTATCACCAGTCTGGGAGGATGGGTGCTAGGTGACGGCATCTGAATTAAGGGTGGACTGCACCTGGAACCTTGATAGTGTCATCTACAAAGGGAGCAGCTATAGCCAATGGGACTCTGAGAATGTGTGTGTGTGTGTGTGTGTGTATGTGTGTGTTGCTATAGGCTCTAGATAGTGTATTAATCTTGACCTTGTGCAGATGGACCCATCTTCCCAGCATCGAACATGTGCACGTGTGTGCTAATACGCAGAGACAGAGAGCTATGAATTAAAAACGCCATAGGCAACCCAAGAGAAGAAAATAAAAACAACCCAGAAACTCCTTGAAGGATGGCATTTATGTCCTAAGTTGTAAAACTAGTTGAGCTCCCCAAAGACGTGGCAGTAACAGAATCTAGCTGTTGGAACCCAGAGACGCATTGTTCTGATTTAATAATTAATGGGGAGTTAATTGAGGCTTTTACTGAACTGAAACAGGATAAAAGAAACCTGCCAGTCTGGATGGGAAGCTTTCCCTGTGAACAAGTTCATTCAGTTCCCCTGGGACTGCCCATCTCCCCCACCCCTCTTCCCTCTGCCATTCTCTCCTCTCGCCTGCCTCTCCCCAAAAGGGTGTAGTGTGAGACCACTTCTGCTCTTCCCTACTCAGGAGAAGCTGGGCAGAAGTGGAGGCATTTGGGAGGTGGGGAGGAGACAGAGGCAAGTGAATGAAGCTTTGCTCCTTCCCTCTCTTGGGTCATTGTTTGATACGGATTTTCCATATTCTCCATGACTTGGGAATCACTGAGCCGTGCAGCAGCCTCGAAGGATGCTTCCAAAGAGACAGACAGAGGGAGCTGCAGGAAAAGCTGGCTTGGTGCCAGGTTGAAGGAAGCAAATAATGACACAGGTTTATCAACTGCAGCTTTGGCAATGGGAATGCTCTGAAGGAACTGAAATCAGAATGCCTTTTAACTCCTTAGAGCCTAGGCTATGCATGGGGGAAAAAACACATATTTGGCCAGCACCTTGGAAAATGCCAGGTGAGGGGCCTCAGCAGCTGAATCCTCCCACTGCAAGGCCAAGGGATTGCCCCACTGCGACACAATACATGCTAGACATGGCACTGATGCCGCGCTGGAAGTGAGACTACCTGAAAGGCCACGTGTCATGGTCCATGGTCTGTTGACATCAACGGGGGCCTTTCATTGGCTTCCATAGGTTTGGGTTGGGCCCTGATTTCCATTCTTTATTACATTTCTTGGGACATAACAGCATCAAGAGGCCACCCAGGAGAGATCTAGGTGCTGCCCAGTTGTTTAATAGAGTGCCCACAGCCACCAGCATGTGTTTTTCCTGGTGGTGCACATCCACACATGCCTCCGTGTACCTAACAAAATGTATTCTGCACATAGATGGAAAACTTAAGAGGGAACGCTGCCCACCGTATTTCTGAGTCTCAGTGCAGTGATGAGACAGCCCAGCTTATTTTAATTCCTTCTCCTCCTCCTGCTGCTCCTCTCTCCCCCTCCCCAGGAGGCTCCCACCGCTCTCATCAGGTCTGTTTTTTTTTCCCGATTTAAAATCAGCAGCCTGGTCTCCAGAGATGCTGAGCACCCACGTTGCCAGCTAGAGAGGACGGGAGATGCTGGTACTCAGCATCTATGCAAGCCAGGCCCACAGCCTACTGCCGACCCTCCTGGCCCTGTCGCTTCGTCTTACTTGGGGGGGTGCTGCTTGTGAGCATACGGCTTGTGTGTCCCTGGGAGTGGATCTGGGGGCAGCTGTGCCTGAGTGCTCCATTTAGGCCTGTTAAATCAGATGCAGTCTGTACGGTGAGGGCGGGGAAGGCACAGGAATCCCAAGGGGCTGCTCTGAATTTGGGACTAAGATTTAGTTTGTTTACTTCCCTTAGGAGACTTGGCAAGGGGGCAGAGAGGGGTTAAGGTCTGGACTAGGATTTTGGATCTAACCTGGATTTTTTTTTAAAAAATTAACTTTGATAAATAGGAAAAGCTGCCCCCCCAACACACTCACACACACACAGTTGCACACACATTTGAGGGTGTTCCCCTCCCCTGCTTCCCCCCATCCCACTGCTCAAGTGGATGATTAGGAAGGTCAGTTAGCCAGTGGTGCCTGGGAGATTTACCTCAGCAGTGCTGACCTTGGGTTCAGGTCTCTCGCCCCCTCCCCTTGCACAGCTGCTTTCAGTTTTCTAATTAAGGTCTTTTGTGCATCCCCTCCCTTTGGACTTGCAGCCGCCAGTCATTCTCCCTGGCAGCGTACAGCCGGGGGGAAGGGGAGGCTCATACATTCATCTGCAGTGAGATTCCCATTCAAGCCCTGCTGCTCTGGCTGCAGCCAGGATTATATTGGAGAGGGGGTGGGGGAGCTTTCCCATTTTCCCTTCAGTAATTGCTCTTCAGCTACTGCCTCCCAAATGGACCTTTTTAATTTGCTTCCTTCTGTTTTTCTGGGTCCACCTAGCACGGCCACGAGGGAGGCCCCTGGCTAGAGAGCCAAGCATGGGCAAGGCTGAGCTCATACATCACTGATGTTGGAGAGTACCACTAGTACAGGCAAGGTATGTGATGCCCCCCTCCCCAACTCGTGAGTTCAGAGCCAGCCTCTGGGAACAGAGCAGCAGTGCCCTAATCCAGCTAGGTGCATGACTTTTCTCTTACCACACGGTGGGCGTGTTGCAGTGACTCAAGGGAAGCACACACTGACATAATGGGTGGAGATGAGGCTTTCAGTCTCCCTCCATAGCCTCAGTCCCACCTATGCCCACTAGCCCTATAAACTACCAAGAGGAAAATCTGTAAGGGGCCCTCTGGAGCACAGATCCCAAAGAAGCAGCATCATTGCAGACAATGAATTGTTGCCTTAACTCAGTGGTTTTCAAACTACGGGTCGTGACCCAGTACTGGATGGTGGATTGTCGGGCACTGGGTCTCGTTGCTGCTGGGCAGTGACCTGCCTGTCCTGGCACCGCAGACTGTGCAGTGCCCCAGAAGCAGCTGGGAACAGTTCTGGCTCCTGGGAGTGGGAGTGAGGGGGAGAGCGCACAGGGCTCCACACGCTGCTCCTGCCCTGAGCACTAGCTCTGCACTCCCACAGGCTGGGAACCTGCTGGTGGCTGCGCCTGGGGTACACCACGGTCTCTGGTGGCAGGAGAGGCAGGAAGATGCCTTAGCCCCGCCCCCCTCACGGTACTGCTGAGTGAGAGCCGCTTGAGGTAAGCCCCTCCTGTCCCAGTCCTGACCCCCTGCAAGCCAGAGCCCAAAGCTCTCCTCCTCAGCCCCACCCTGGAGGCCACACCCCAGTCAAATAATGTTGGGTTGTGAGCACCAACAATTTTCTTCAGCTGGGTCGTGAGAAGAAAAGTTTGAAAGCCTTAATCCCTGTTCCCTAGGTAAAGGCATGTTCTCCCCAACCCTGAACGTACCTTCTTTCATGCACTGTGTACTTCTCCCGAGCGAGGCCAGCATACCATGTGCAGGCAGAGATTCACCATCCCCAAAGCATCTGGTTCTTGGTGATCTGCTTGAATGCAGAAGGAGGCTTCTCCCGGAAGGCAGGTGCTGATCTGCTGTCCTTTGTTTTGAATCTTGGCTGTGGTGATGTGCGGAGACTGACCATGGAATGGGGCGTGCTACTGCTTGCACAGGTCTGCCCCAGCGTCTGGCAATCAGGTAACACACCCTGGAGACCTGTGAGTGAGTATCACAGCCACTTTCATGGCCTAAAAGGGTTAATGCCTCTGATTGGAGTCATGTCTTAGCCTGATTCTACCTGCCTAACCGTATGAGGAGTCTGGATGCCAGGTTTGCAACTGCCCTGGGCCCCATGCTTTGTGTGTGTGTGGGGGGGGCAGGGCCCAGGGCAGCCTGGAATCTAAGTGGGAGCTTGGTGCCAGCAGCAGTGAGCAAGCCAGCCCTAGCCAGTCCCACTGCTCTGCCCCTTCCCTACCCCGCCTCCATTCCACCTCTTCCCCCAAGCCCTGTGCACCTCTTTCCCGCTTCCGCCCCTCTCCCAAGCAGTGCTGGGAGCCAGCGTTGGGGAGTGGGGCAGGCAGGGCCAGGTCACTCACTGCTGCTGGCACCGCCCTCCCCACTCCCACTAGCCTCCCAAGCTACCCTGCACCCCACGTCCTATGGATGGGACGGATAGCTTTGAAAATAGAAGCCCAAATATTGGTGGAGCTGTGCCCACGTTCCTGAATATTGGTGGAGCACGGGCATGATGGGCTCATATAACTTGCCACCTATGACGAGGAGGCCTGTTAGAATCAAGGGGGCTGCTTGGGGAAGCCAGATCAAGGGTGTTGTCTCCTGAGTGGTAAAAGGAGCATGTAGCAGAGCTGTAAAGCGTTACACGTTATGGTAACCTGGGAAACATTCAGGTTTGGGCTAGGAATGTGAATGACGAGTCGACTATACGATAAGCAAATGCTTATTGGATAGTCAACAGACTAGTTGACTAGTCGCTTCCCCCTTCCCTTCCCTTGCTGCCTTTATCAGAAACAGGCAGCAAGGGGGGGAGGGAAGGGAGTGCTGACAGGAGCTGGGCCAGACCCTGGGCTCAACGCGGCGCTGCTGCTTTGAAATGCCATGTGCAGCTCCCGGGGCCAGCTGGGAGCCCAGGCTGCACATGGTGTTGTCAAAGTGGCAGTTTCGCGTGGAGTCCAGGGTCAGTGGGGAAAGTCCCTGCTCATATCTCACACTCTCACACACAAAACCCCCCAAATGCACAAGACTAGCTGGGGCTGTGGGACAGACACGGAGGCAGCCCCTCACTAACACAGCCTGCTGGGCTTTGCTCGTGACTCTGCTGTTGTATTTTGTCTAGTGAATAGAAACGGCGGTATCAGGTTTCAAGTCCCCCCCCCCCCGCCTCCTTTTTTTTTTTTGGCTGCTAAATACATTAGCCCAGGCCTGCTCTGCCCTTCAAACAAACGAGGTTTGCAGGAATTTATGATGTTTTGTGTGTCTGTGTTGCCAGTACCTACTGGCAGCAGAATCTGAGGGGATCCCTTGGCACACTTATCTCTCAGTCAACTTTGCTGGCACCAGGGGTAGGGTGCACACGCCAAGCCAGGAAACAGATACACACATGAGATTGTTGGTTTTTCCTTCCCACTGCCTGCACTTGGAGGAACCCAGTCAGCAGTGTGCACATCAGCAGGCAGCAGATTACAGAGGGTAGAATAGGGGCCACGTGGCAATGAGACAAGGCAGAGGAAGGAACATGAAGAACAGAATTCTGAAGATAATCACCTGATTCCTGATGGTCATAAGACCACGATAAGTGCGTACAGGGAGGCAGATTGTAGGTCAATGCATAGTTTTTCTTTTGAGGCTTTGTTTACACTTAAAACTTTAAAACACTGCCACTTTAAACTAAAAGTGTGGCCACAACATGAGCGCTGGGGGAGAGCTCTCATAGTGCTCTGGGTAAACCACTATCACGAGGGGAGTATTCATGCTCTTATCCCTGTAGCGTGGTTCACACTGGCACTTTACAGTGCTGTAACTTGCTGCACTTTGGGGGTGTGAGTGTGTGTGGTTTTGTTCACAATCCTGCGCCAGAAAGTTACAGCGCTGTGAGGCGCCAGTGTAGACTTGGCCTAAAAGGGTATTTTTCACCTGAGGCGATGACGCTTGTGTAGCTAGGGGGAAAGAATGAGAGGGTTCGTGTAGCATGGCCTCCACGGTGGCATCTGACCTGTTGGTCATGGTGATGTTGCTGGGAAAACGGTCTTAGAAAAATTATAGACTTGAGAGATGCTGAACTCTTGATGCTCTGATCCAGTGTTTCTCAACCTTTTTTTTATAAAGTACCCCTTAAAAAAAAAAGTACCCTCAGTACCTATAGTTTTCAGACACACACAATTTTGTTCTGCCATTGCAACACATTTGTTTAAACAACTTAATCATAGCCGGGCAGGCGATGAAATTTTTAGGTGTAAAAAGTACAAAAATAATAAAGCGCTGTAAAACTTAAAACAAAAATTCAGGTTTCTCCACATTTCAGTTGTGTTGACGTACCCCCCCCAGATTTCTCTTGAGTACCCCTAAGGGTATTCATACACAGGTTGAGAAACACTGCACTGAGCCACTTGGTTTCCTGTGGCTGTTTTTGCTTCTGGGTTTGGTATTTTTTTTTAAAAATCTCATTGTTTCTTCTAAAATGAAGTGTGGCACAGAAGCAACAGAACAGTAGGGATGTCCCAGGCCAGGTCGACACTAGGGGAGAGAGTCAACTTAAGAGATGCAACTCCAGCAATATGAATAGCATAACTTGAGTTCACATACTTTAGGTTGAATTTCCATGGCATCCCCAAATACTGGAATTGACAAGGGCGCCATCAGTAGTCAATTTAGTGGGTCCTTACTAGACCCTGGAAGATCGATCTCTGCACCTTCAGTCTCCTGGCAAGGGGACACAAAGCCCCCAAAGTGCTCAGGAATGGCCTGACTCTTCTCCCATTTAAATCAACCTCCTGATTTCAACAAGAAGGCTTAGGCCTGTTCTTCAGCACCTTTGAAAACCCCCGTCTTCCTTTGCAAGTGGATATCAACACTTAGGAGACTTAAGCCATTCAGAAACCAACCTGAGGCCAGAACAAAGGAATGGGAGTCAACACTCTTGGATTCTGTTCTTGAAGCACTATATGACCATGTACAACCCACTCAATTTCTCTGAGTCTCAGTGTATCTATCTGTAAAATGGGGATAGCAATATATAACTACATCTCACAGGTATGCCTGCAGCTTTTAAACCCTTATAGAAAGGGTACAATTGAAGGGTAAAGAATTAGTTGCAGATTCACTCTTCATTAATCATTATTGTAATTCATTTTATTTTGAATTAAGCTGATGTAAAATAGTTCACAGGGGATGGAGATTGGCATGCTGTTCTGATCCTCAAAATGCTGATGTGGGACTCTGTAACATACCTTCAGTTTCCTCCTTAATTTACTTTGAATATTGGGAAAAGATTTGGTACAACCCAGGCCTGATTCTCCCTGGCTTTGGACCTTGCATTCACAGATCTACCTCAGCTACCCAATCACGCTTACATAAGCAGTAGAATTTTACACCTTGTTTGTAAAAGCGCACGTGACTATGTGAGGGGCAAGCCAAAGGAGAATGAGTCCCAATATTTTATTACAGGGGTGTCTGTAAAGGACGTTTGATGGATTCATAAGGGTGAAGAGTGACTGAAATGAGGCTTATACAGCCTGCATTTACTCTTTTTTTTTTTTTTGTACAGTGATATGGTCCATACAGTGCTGCTTCTTAATATAGATGGAGTCCAGTCGTTTTTGTGGGCTGGACTGTTGGGATCACAATGAAGAGTTGCACACTGGTCGTGTAGTCTCCATGATTGTATGAGGTGAGTGTAGCTGCAGTCTGCCCCCTTTTGTGTACACCATGGGGTTCTGTGCAGGCTGGCCGGGTGGCCCTCAACAGGATCTCCCTGCGCTGCCAAGCGAATGTAAGAGAAAAGCATTGATTGTGCTGTGTTTTATAAGAAAACTGGTACATAAACAAAATAAATCTCAGACCCAGCTGGAGCAGGAGCTGTGAAAGCTGAGGAAGGCAACACTAGAAAATGAGCCCTGGGCTGGGGAGATTTATTGAAATATGCCATGTGTGTCTGTGTTTTTTTTTTTTTAAGTAATAGAAAAGTAGGGCTCTAATGGTCATGCGGCAACCATATAAAGCCCAGGTGAGGAAATGAATGTAAATGACAGGGAAAGTATTTTTTTCTTTAACGAGAAAAATAAAAAACCAAAGGGAAACCCAGAGCAACATGCTACAGGAGCCGAGTGGAATCAGCCAGGCCTGAGGCACAAACAAAGGACACACCTGGGCTCCCAAGGTCTTACCTCGACTCTTGCCTGATGTCTCCCTGTAGCATCGGAGCTGGAGGAGGAAAACAGCTTGCGGGCTCTTTCTCCCCCCTGGGTCCCAGAAACCCTAAGGCCAGCCCTGAGGGCAGGTGTGCGTCAGAGAGAGACAGACCGAGCTTGTCAGACGGAGGGAGAATTTAACTCAAGAAAACAAAACAATAATAATAAACCTCTAATCCATTTAGAGGAACCCTCACCTCCTGCTTGAGATAGGAGACTGGGAGCTGAAGAAAGTGCAAGAGCAAACGAACCCAATGAATTAGTCTTAACTATCGTGAAAACAGCGCTTGTGTAAATGAGGACCCGGAGGGCCAATAAGCAAGCTGTAAAATGTTACAGGAGGGAAGTAAGTCAGGGCTGTAAACCTGGAAAGTCAAGACTGGGTAGCCAGGATCTGGAGCATAAAACGGGAGATTAAAGGATGATGAATGAGGCGCAGCGGTGGATGGCACGCACGCTGGTAGGGATTCTAATTCCTGTGGCCTAGAGACAGGCTTTCTCTGAGCATTGCAAGGGACTGAGAAAAGACTGAGGTGCACGCTGTGAACTTGCAGGGAGGAGGGAGAGCAAACAATGGTTGATAAATAAAAGAAGGGAATATAATCAAATCAGCATTGAGTGTCTTTGATTTAGGAGGACACCAATGAAAAGAGAAGAGCGAGAGGAAAGCAGGGTGGGAGCTGCTGCTGGGTGAGGCTGTGCCTTGAGTGAGATATAGTGCGGGCCCTAAATTATCATCATCATTATTTTTTGGCTGGACTGTGTTGTGGCATCAATAGCAATTTACACTCTGGGGGAACAGCACTTACTACAGACTTGTCATAAATTGTGCATTGTCCTTATTTATTTGCAACTTCATCCTGACCCACCCATCCCCCTCACTCCCTCTTCCCTTAGACACCCAACTGAGAGGGCGTGTCTTTGCCATGTGGCTTCAGAGCTGACATTTCACCCCAATGGAGGGTCTCCAGCCACACTTTCTTGTTCTCCTTTCAGGAAAAGGGGAGCATTTTCTGAATGTTTCCATTCCTGGTAGGAGGCTAGCACAGGCTCAGAAGAAGAGGCTAAAGCCACTGCAGATAGATCCTGCTAACAGGGAGCACTTCATGAGCCATATGACTGATTGGTACTTCCATGACATTACTACTCTCTATTACACAGCTGAGAGTGCTTGGCCAATGTCAGCCATTTTGAACATCTGAGACAAAGGCCTGGTCTATACTACTGCAAGCAGGCCCACTAATGGGGAGGGATAAAAGGAGCAATTGCCCCTGGACTCGGAAAGTCTAAAATGCCTGGGGCTCTAGGCCCTTTAAATAGTTGCCCACACAGTCATTCCGGGCAGCGCTGAGGGCTTGCAGCGGGGTGGCATGGGGCACTTGCTGCCCTGGCCCATCCCTTCTGTCCGAGGCACAGCCCCATGTCCAGGGGCCCAGCGTGTCTGTCAGTTCTCCTGACCATGGGCCATCGGTCTAACTTATGCAACATAAATAACTTAGCTCTACGTATCACTGACTCTCTCCCATCGACTCCAGCTACTCCTCTCATTCTGGTGGAGTACCAGAATCGACAGGAAAGTGCTCAGTGGTCGATTTGTCACATCTGTACTAGAGGCGATAAATTGACTCCCGCTGGATCAATCGCTGTCTGGTAAGCAGTGAAGACATGTCCGTCCAGTTACTTTACTGTTGCTCTGTGGGACAGATTGTACTAAGGGAAGAAGGGTCCATACTGTCCTTCTGTCCAAATCTGGACAGGCAAAAGCCCTCCCTGCCCCATAGCAGTATTACAAGATGCGTCCTCAAAACTATTTTGAGGCAGCCACAATCGCACATAGAAGCAGGTCAGCTATTTCTGGTGCATCCTTGGGCTAGCAGTGCTCAAGCTTCTTCACAGAATGAACAACATGCTAGTAGAGAAATTGTCTCATGGGCCAACTGCCCTCCCCTGGCATCCCTGTGGCATCTACAAAGGAAGGGTTTAATCTAGTCTGAGCACCATGTTACCAGCAACAATATGAGAACTGCGTCTTTAGGCAACAGCAAGATACGTGCTTGAGATACTTACCTGAGACATGATTTGCTGGTCTTGCTTGCTTCTGTGCTGTATGGGCTGCTTGGCTGTGGTCTCAGAAGGAACCTGTGAATTGGAAGGGTCCGTTTGATTGAGTTTCCTAAAGCATCCTTTCTCTCTGCATCCCCAGAGAGGTTTTTCCTTCTGCAGAAAATAGGATTTTTGTGCCAAGAAGTATGGTAGAGCCATTGGAAGAGCAGCAAAGCAAGACAAGTTTAAATACTCTGTACATCCAAGAGAGGAAGGTTGGATAGATATCTGAGACTTTTCCAAGCTTGTCCTGTGGGGAGGGACTGTCATCTGGACAGCTGAGAACCCCAGCAGAGTAGAACTTTATGACAAAGCCAAACCACCATATTATTCAGGGAAACAAGTGCAAACAGGGAGCAAAGTCCCCACTGATGCCTCAGGAGCCCAGGCCCACGGATTTAAAACCATGGAAGCAGGTGTTGGGTCTAGTCTGGTAACTGTTATTCAGCATCTCATCCCCCTTTCTCCTCCCTTTGCTCAATCAGACAGTTTTACCATTTTGGGATCCCTTGGGCTGGGAGAGGAAGAGGAAAGCAAGAGGAAGAGGCAGAAGCTCATTGAGTAAACTGGTTCCTGGGACCAGGAAGGTTTCCACTCAGGGGCAGCTGATGAGCTTCCTAACTAAAGCTGGAGGTGTCCGATCCAAATGCCCTTTTCTCTGCCTGTCCCATGTAATCTCTCTCTTTTTGCCCTGTGTAGGCAGCAAGATAACAGTGGAAGCTGACGGTTGTGGACAGGGCATGAAGCAATTTCCCTCGCGTCTAGTATTGTATCAGACAGAGGCTGTACAGTTTACTGACTGACTCCTCTTTAGAGATGTGAGACCCCCCCCAGTTCTTCTCTTGTGTTTTGTCTCCTTCTGGAGACTGACAACGTGTGGCAGCCAAAGCTAGACATCCAGGACAGCAGGCAGAAAGGAGCCAATCCAGACAACTTAACGCAGTTCCTGGCACATCCATCTTCATAAATGGCTTTGGGAGTATGCAATCAAAGAGGACACAAGCTGTGCCCTGCTTGTTGCTAGCACAGCCAAAGTCCTCTCGTCTAGTATATGAGGAATCACGGTTGGGGAGGCTCCTGGGAGCCCCTCAGTGGGGTAATCAAGAATACAATTGCAACAAGGGAGAAGAGAGAAATGGTCTTGCTGTGCTGCTGTTCCAAGTATCCATTATCGTCTGATTCCCAAAAAGTGAGAGGGTTGACCTGTGCACCGCAGGAATAAGGTGAGCCTACGAAAGTGTACTGTTCTTACTGCTGGCTTGAGCCATTACTACAGGTCTCTTTGCTGATGGGGTGCTTGGGTTTCATAGCTTAAGGCAGGGGTCTCCAACCTTTTAACGCACGAGATGACTTTTTGAAAGTAAGTGCAACCCAAGGTCTATCTCAAACCCAAATACCTTTGCCCTGCCTTCTTTGTGCCCCTTCTCTGAGACCTCGCCCCTGCTCACTCCATCCTCCCTCCCTCCCTCTCTCACTCTTCTTCACTTTTAGCATGCTGGGCCAGGCAATTGGAGTATCGAAGGGGGTTCTAGGTGCAGGCTCTGGGAGGGTGTTTGGATGCAGGGGTGCTCAGGGCTAGGGCAGGCGCTTGGGGTGCAGGAAGGGGTTCGTGACTGGTATGGGGTTTTGGGATGTGGGCAGTGCTGGGCAGTGCTTACCTCAAGTGGCTCTTGGGTGGTGGAGCAGTGGGGCTAAGGCAGGCTCACCCGTGTCCTGGCCCTGCATCACTCCCAAAAGCAGCCAGCAAACTCCATCCCAAGTCCTGTTGTGCCCCCTCTTGTCTCTGTGGAGATAGGGTACAAAGTTGGAGAGGAGGCATGTTGACATAAGCACCCTCCTCTCCCTTCCCTGCGCAGCAAGCATGGGGGTAGGCAGCTCCAAAGCAAAGGGCAGGAGATGTGCAGTAGGCTGGGGGGAGTGGGTAGCTGAAGTGCTGGGCTTGATAACCTCTTGGCCAAACCTGTCAGGATCACCTGTCAGAGGCTCCAAGTTCTACCAGTAGATCACAATCTACTGGTTGGTGACCATTGGCTTAAGGTCTTGAATTTGAAGCCCACCATGTTGGCATGATACCAAGGGCCAGGGCTTGCTGGTGACTGTAATGTCACATGCATGGTATATAGAGTCTGTCATTTTTCCCCAAATGCCTGTTCTGTCTTGCCAGCAGCAGGGAAAGGTCTTGGCTTATAACAGCTAATTGCAGAGAGAGGAAATGAAGGAGGAATGTTGATATGGGAAACTAGTAAGATCAGATCCTTATCTGGGGTAAATCGGTGTTGTTCCAAGTCATTAAGACTTCCATTGACTCCCTGTAAGACCCTTTGCCCCACTTGAAGATCTGGCTCACAAGCAGGAAGTTCCAGGCCCCTGCTATTTTCTTCCCTTAAAACTTCTTGCATGCACTGGAGGGTTTTTAAATTTGTTAGTTATTAATTGGGTTGACGCAATCCACCAGCGCTTTACATCTGATGTTATCGG